AACTAAAAAATAATTATTTATTCATTTATTTTTATTTTAATTTTATTTTATTTTTTTTTTAAAAAAATGAGTGATAATGCATATCCAGATGCATTCACAACAATTGTTTTAACTCCAGAAGCGGCAACAAAAATTACTTTAGGAATTGATATCTGCTCATTACTGCTAACTGTATTAAATTTAAAAGTTTCGATAAAAAACTACAGAAACTCGAGAACAAAAATGCTGTCATATTCAAATATGTTTTATTTGATTGTATGCAGTGTATGGTTGGTGTGGATCACAAACATGATAATAATTGACCTGGTGTCTATTCCAAGAGATACAATGTTGTGGTATACGTTCTATATCTTAGCAGGAAACTTCCTAAGCGGCCTCATTGTGTTTTTGTATCAGCTTTTGACAGCTTATAGGTATTGACAATTAAACACCAAACTGCTAACAAAAAAATAATTTTATCTTAATACAGATTTTCCACGATAGTTCAAAAACTGAATCCATACCCACGTTTCGTAGACGTTACAGTCTTTCTCGTAATATGTGTAGTAAATATAACGGCTCTAACTGTAGATCAAGTGGTATAAACAATGTTAACAATCAAGAAATACCACAGATCTTTTTTTTTTTTTTTTAATTATTAATTACATCTGTCACTCATTAGAGCTGCTTTTGTAACATTTCACCATTTGCCAATGATCCCAACTTCTCTCTTCCCTCTTACTGTTTTTTGGATGGCATTGTTAACTGGACTTATTGGTCATATGGTTTGTTTTTTTTCAATATCAAATTTAATAAAAGAAAAAAAAAAAAACAAAACAAATAGCACTTTCCACTCAAAGTTTCTTTTCACCTATTTTGGAAACTGGTTTAAGTAAATTAAAAAAAAACATAAATATATTAAAGCTCTTTACTTAAATAAAAAAAAAAAAATATAAAAAAAATCTTAGATCTGATAATAGTAACGAAAATATTTTTAATAAGAAAAAGATCAAAGGCAACTGCAAACAAAGACTATAGTATGCAGAGTTGTAGCGAAAAAAATAACTTTGAATCGAAATATGCGTTTCGACAATTGTTGAAGTTGACTTTATTTTTATTGTTGTTAATCATAATCTCTTGGATGGCTTCAATAATTGGGATCTTAAACAACGATTACTCAGTGTACCCTGGATACAGCACTGATAGTACCACAAATAACCTGTTGTATAATATTGTTTGGGTCTTTGGATTATTTTTAATAACGATCCAAGTAAGAATAAAAATAAAAAAAGAAAATAAAAAGAAAAAAATAAAAAAAATTTAAAAATTTTTATATTTTCTTCTTATATTTTAGTTTAGTTTTTACTACGCATTTATACGTAAAATTACTGATCTGGCATCAGACTTTAAAAATTCGCGAGAAAAGAAAGATTTGAAGGCAATAAATAAAATGAAAGAATTATTAAATCAAAGTAGTAGCAACAGTAACCATGACAGTTCATTATGTAGTTCAAAGTTGCCAGATACTTCTGCATAGATTACCATAACAAAATTTTTTCTTAAAAAGTAGAAAAAATATTTGTATTTGAGAAAAATTATTGTTTTATTAGATATATATTTAGTGTATGACCAAATGTTAGTAAAAAAAAATATTAACACCTGACGAAAATAGTAAAAGAGGTTACAAAAATAAGATAACCTTTAGGTATGACTCGAAAACTCAAAAACAGCCAGGAAATTTAGTCTTTTTGAATTGGACCGATTGACTTCACCAGCCAAATTGATTTGCCTATGGATCTCTGCTTCAAAGTAGCAACATTATTCAGATTTTACAATTTTGTTGGTCACTTTACGGTTGAAAAAATTCGCTTTGGCACCACTATAACCCATAAACATTTAACTCATCAATGCTTCCATGAACACTTTACCCATCATACCCATTCACATCGTGGACAACCTTTTGAGGTCTTGTGCTCTATAAACAACAATACACCTAATGAAGCATTTTCCTAATTATGTTAACATATTTATATACGTATATGTTGCTACCGATCTCTTTCCTTCGTACAAAACTTCATTATGATGTTAGTCTTTTTTTGTTTAAACACCTAGAATAACTAATTAATACTAAGACTAAATGTATATTAAAATACCTTAGATAATTATTTTGATAATAAGAAGTTATTAATAATAAATAGAACTAAAGATCATAAAGATTATATATTCTTTTAGTTAAAACAAAGACAATAATACCAATTTTTCCTTAAAATAAGAACATATATTGATAATTTTTCACAAAGCAAACGGGAATTAGCTCATATGGTAGAGCGCTCGCTTTGCATGCGAGAGGCAGGGGGTTCAATTCCCTCATTCTCCACATTTTTAACGAAAACTTTTATTCAAATTTCTACAATAAGTTTATTATTTCAATATCTCCCAATAAAATACTTTGAATATAGTTTACTATTATGATAACGAAATCTTAACAAGTCAATTTCTGTAAATAATTTAAAATTTTCTCAAATTTTTCAAGTAAAAAAAGAAAAAAAAAATTTAAAGATAAAAATAAAGTCTTTACAATTAACTTAAGATTACAAAATTCTACTGCATCAATTATAAAAATTTGGTTAACAGTTTTGTAGTAAATGGTTTGTGGAAAACCCAAGTTTAACTGAAATATGACTTACTTGAAATTTGGTGTAACAGCCAGTCAAAAAAAAGAGTTGAAGTCACAATGAATGAAGCAAATCCTAGTTCCTCAAGTGCAGTCATTAAAATTAATAAAAAAAGCTGGCATTGAAGAAGGAGCGTTAGTAAAACATCCTGAAAAAATAAAATGTAAGTTTTTAAATTTAAAATCGGGTAAATCTGTGGGATTTTATCAGTATAGTGTTTTGACTAAAACATTTTATTATTTTACTTGAAAGTTGAGCAAGAAAATTTTTTTTTTATAAATTAATGTAAAGAAAGCTCTTTCTAAAATAAATTTAAATTAATACTTTGGAATGTTCCAGAAACCTTTAATAAAAAAATAAAAAACAGTAGAAAGATGGATAATAAGACAACAACTGCAACTGCAACAAAGAGAGATACTTCATCAAACCAGGCAGTAGAAAGTATTATTGAAAATCTTGAAAGTTTTTCCTTTGCTGAGCAGAAGCAATCAGTAAGTGCTTCGGAAGAAAAACCTTTAAAAATAAAAACTCAAAATTTTACTACTTTTAATGCAACAACTCCCTCAAATCTACTGATTTCTTCACATCTAATTACTCCTACTTCTCCCAAACTTACCTCAGTTCAGTCATTTAGTCCAACAGTGTTAACTTCAACAAAAAACTCAATTTCTTTTTTTATTCCATTTAATAAAAAAATCTTAAAATACCAAGTTTTGAGTGAAAATTTTCAATTTCAAAAGTTAAAAAATGTTAAAGAAAACTACACTTCAGAAGAAAAAAAAATGTCACTTCATTTTAAGCAGCATAGGGCAGCCTTACGAAAGAGCTTTATACTTCAGAGCAAACTTCATAAATTAAGAATTCGTAGTGAAAGGATCAAGCATAATTTACATTTAAAAAATCAAAGGGATAGACTTATCATACTAAAATTTAGAACCAAAAATGACTTTAAAATTTCTTCTGCCAATTTAAAAAAAAAAATATATTTAAAATTAAAATCAGAAAAATTCGGTGCTGTGGTAGAACGTGCACAAACCGTTGCGTTGGTGAATAAGGTATGATATTAAGTTTATTTCACGTTATTAAATTTGATCCAAATAGATGAGAAAATACATTGACGCTAAAAAAAGTTTTATTGAACAAGTAAGCAAGGACTTACATCAAGCTGATGAAGAGTATTATGGCGAAGAGGTGGTTGGAGACTTTTACAATTCTAGTGAGCCGCCTGTATTTCCAATTCCTTCACCAACTTCATCTTCAAGCGAATCCCGTAATACTGTGCTATCAGCCAATTCTGACGACCACAATGATAATGACGATTCAACAAAGAGTTTAGGACAAATGGCTATGGAAATGCACTTTTTACCTGTAGATATGTTTGAAAATTTGACTGAAAAAATATTTTTAAAGGAGTATGGGGAATTATTACCAATGATTACAAGGTACAAAAATATAAATTAATGTTTAACAAATTACAAAAAAAAAAGATTTACTTTAAGGGAATTGGACGTAGATGAAATAATTGATAATCCTCAACTTCGACATGATCTTTACTTTGATCCTAATCTTCAGTTTAAACCGAATTTTCAAGGCGAGAAAGAAACAAGGAAGAAAATCGAACAGAATATGTATTGGGATAGGTTGGAAGTTGAATTTAAAAATAACGATTTGTATCGGTAAGCTTTTTACTTTTTTTATTTCATTTTTTTTAATACAGTTTTTCTTTTTTATTTATTTAGAATCCCCCTAATTTTATTTGAAATAAAACAAATTTTGCTAAATTTATTACCGATTACTGAAGAATTGTCAGCAGAATTAAATTCGCATTTTGATTTAAGGTTATTGGAGCAGCAGATTAAATACAAGTGCTTTCAGCCAATAAATTTAATTAAATACTTGACGGGTATGTTGAAGGAAAATTGTGCCCCAGTACGAGACGCTGCTGTAGATCTGATTTTATTGGAAGCTGAAAAAGGAAAATTTTGTTCCGCAATAAGAGAAATTTTTAATGTGTTGGAAATGATGAAGTTAGATTATGCTAATCATCAGTTAACACGATTAAGGCAGTTTGTAATCGAGAATGCAGCTGAATACGAATACAAATATTTTAAAACGCTAAATTATGATCCTGAACTACCAAAAACCACATCTTGGTTGCGGAATAGTTATAATTCAATAATTACTAATAATTCACCATTTGTTAAAAATATCCCTAATTTCGTTTTAAATTTTAAAACAGTTTTTTTTAACGGCATACTAGATTTAATTTTAAGAGCTTCAGAATTTGATACAATGGATACACCAGAAACTTTGCAGATGGATTTAAACAGAATGATAGGATTTTATAATGACTGGCAAGACATTACCATTATGTCTAGTTTGCTCGTCATATTTAAGCAAACTTGTGGAGGAAAAACTGTTCTAACCAATGAAGTTATAAAAAAATTGAAAACTAGTTTGTGGGTTTTGTTGAATGATAACGAGACTAGCCTAAAACACGTAAGTCTTCAAATCGCTCAAGTTTCTGGAAAGATAAGAAGGAAAGCTTTGGACAAAGAGGAAGGTAAGGAAAAAAACTGAAATATGTTGTTAAACAACTTTAAAAAAATGTTTTCAGTTGAGATGCTTAACAGGGTTGTAGAAAAAACATTATCTGGAGTGGATGGACCAATTTTTAAACTTATGCAAAATAGAATTGGAAATATAATATTTTCCTGCACAATGAAGCAAAGTAATTTTACAAACACTACTTCTTTAAAATCGGGAAATGAAGCGACCTCTTCAGCTCCAAATAAAATTCTATTTTTTGAGCAAGGTTTAGCGTTGAAGCTCGGTTTACTTGAATTTCAAGATGAGATCTTAGACCTGGGTGAAAGAATAAAATCAGTTTCTGATTTAAACGTTGCAGTATTTTTTGAATGCCATACTAAAATCTGGAATGTACTTGTCAGTGGACAAAGAGAGGAATAATTTGTAAACTTAACATTAGATACATATTAGAAGCAAAAATATAAAAATTTGCCTAAAATGTTAAAGGTGAAGTCAACTTCTTTGTGTAACGCGAAAAATTTAATGAATTCAGAAACTCAATACCAACTATACAGAAGGTCTAGCTTGGGTTCTACATTAACTGATGCTTTAGATGAATTAGTAATTTTTTTTTATTAAACTTCTGTTCTTGTTTTGAAACCTTTAATTTAATATTCTGTGAAATCCCTTAATAAATTACTATTTTTCTTTTTGCAGATTAGTTCTGGATTAATGGATCCTCAGATTGGTAATTCAGTGAAAGAATATATATCTTATATTATTTTACCATTTTAGCTATGAAAATTTTAACTCAGTTTGATAGCAGCATTTCAGAAGCTTTAAGAACCAAAATAAAAGCCAAGGCTACTTTAAAAGGGCATTTGGATGAGTACAGATTTTGCGAAGACGTTTGGACTTTTGTTATTGACAATCCAACCTTTAGGTACGTTTCCATAAAATAAATAATAATTATTTTGGAAAAAAAGGTTTGAAAATGAAACTGTTACTGTAGAAAAAGCTAAAATTGTGGCATGTTCTGTTAAAGCCCCTGAAGTTAAATAATATTTATATGATGAAGTTACTTCTTTGGGAATTGGAAATTAACATTGATTTATTTATTTAATTTTACATAAAAACGTTTTGATGTTATTATTTATAAGTGGATATATGTGTAAAAGTTTAAAATATCGTTGAAGATTTGTTAGGAAACTTTTTTTTTTTTTTTTATATATTTACAAACAGCTCAATATAGAGCAAAATAGCGGTATGATGACTAAATTTTTAAATTTTGTTTTTTTTTTGCTGTCATTATTTCACTAAATTTTTCGCATTTCGCGTTTTGAATTTTAATTTCAAAATTGTATTTTATGAAGCATCAAACTTCCATTTTGTGGAAGCTACTAAGCATATGTGCATGGACACTTCATAGCGTTAAGTGTGGCAGCATTGGTAAATTACAGTTCATAAGATTAAAGAGTATTAAGAAAAATAGTTGTTACCGGATTATCACCAAAATCGGGGAGTTTAGCAGGTGGAACTATACTTACTATTACTGGAAGTGGATTTCCTGCAGATTATTTTGTAACTGATGTAAAAGTTTTATTAGTGCCGGATTTAATCTCAAGAAAACCATCTTCTGATTGGAAAAGCAACACAGTTATTAACTGTGATATTATACCGTACAAATCAACTACAACATATATAACTTGTAGAACCAGGTCAATCACCGTTGATTTAGCTACAGTAGGTACCTTAAGAACTCCTAACGCTTCCTGTGATCCCAATGCCGTAAATGGGGATACACAGGCAGCTGATGGTTTAATGCAGATAGTTTCTTGGCAGGCAGCACTTGACAACGATTTCAAAGCTGACTTTAAGGTAACAAAGCAGCTAATAGGTTAAAAAAAAATTAATGTCACAAAACTTCTTTTTTTTAAGGTTTTGGTTTTGACAGGAGATTTGGATGAAAATAATGTCGTGTCTACTTCGTAATATTAATATTATTAAATCAAGCAAACTAAATTTTTACAAAATACAGTAATCAAATCTCTTATCCGGCAAACGTTGAAGCTTCCTCATGTCCAACAAAATCGTTCAACACATGCTACTTCACTTATTCGCAGGCTTTAACTCCACTAATAATTTCTTCTTCACCAACATTTATAGCTTCAGA